AAGCTAGAAGAAATATTGAACATATTAAGTGAGACATGGAAAATACATTTTTTAAAGAAATCAAATGTCTAAAGATAAAAATTACAATATCTGAGATAAAAAATACAGAGATGGGATTAACAGAAGATTAGATATTATATAAGAAAAGATTAGGGGTCCAGGAGACACAGCAATAGAAACTATCCCAAATGAAATAAAGTGAGCTATGGAATTATTTCAAACAGCCTGATATGCAGGTAATTAAAGCCTCTGAAAAGAAGAGAAAGAAAGGAAGATATAAATAATATTTTAAAAGTAAAGGCTGAAAGTTTTTTGAATTTGATAAAAAACTATATACCTACTGAACCAAGAATCTCAATGAACCCTTAGCAAAAGAAACATGAAGAAAAGTATGCCAAGGCATATCATAATTGAAGTTCCCAAATCTGGTGCTAAAGAGAAAATCTTAAAAGTAGTAGGGTTGGGGGTGGCAGAGAAGACATGTCACAAACAGAGAAACAAAGATAAGGGAGGGGTCATATTTTTTATCAGAAGTAATGTGAATGAGAAGATAGAGGAGCAACATCTCTAAAGTACTGAAAGAAAAAAAAAACTTTCAACCTAGAATTCTATACCCAGCAAAAATATCTTTTAAAAATAAAAATGAAAGAAAAACTTTTCAGACGTGAAAGAATTCATCCACAGCAGACCCACACTACAATAGTAGTATGTAAGAAGTCCTTCACATAAAAGAAAACTGATGTCAAATGGATATGATGCTCTACACCAAGGATTAAACAGAACCAGACCTTAAAACTGCAGAGGGTAGAGTACTTCCAAACACACTTGATGAGGTCATCACTATCCTAATACCAAAACCAGACAAAGACATTAGAAGAACAGAAAACTATATTGACAGAAAGATCAATGTTTGCCAGGGGACTGGGGTTGGAGGAAGGGATTAACTGCTAAATGACATGAGGAATATTTGGGGGCTTATGGAAATGCTCTATATTTTGTGTATTGGTAGATTCATGGGTGTACACATCTGTCAAAACTCATCAAATTGTATAATTTAAACGTGTAGTTTATTATATGTAAATTATACCCCAATAAAGCTGGTTAAAACAAAACAAAATAAATGAAAACAGCATATCTGGCAGATACTGTGGTTTGTCTCACTCAGTAACCTATCCAGACTCTTTCTAGAATGTCTTCCTGTGCTATAGAGTGTATAGCAGTGTATAGAGGCTAGAAACCTAAAAAGCATATTTCCCATTTTCCCTCACTGCTTTCACATGTGACTTATTTAGTAACCACAAACAGATACACTCACTCAAGACTTTATTAGGAAGAGAATTTTGTAGAAAGAAGGGCAGAGAACAAGTCATCCATTTTGCTGGTGTGGACCATGGCAAAGACAGCAAGTTACTGGAGCTGACCACCTCCAGACTGTGGCAGAGGCTTCCTTGGTGGCCCATTTCTGGGAAAATTGGAAGTAATTGGAAAATTGGAGAAATTTCGGAAGTAGTCCCTAGAAACATGCCTAGAGTCTGTATTTCTAGTGTGTCTACTATCTATGCTCAATAATAATTCCTTCATTCTTAAATTGAATAAAACAGTACTTTAAATAGATATAGAATTATCAAGCAGTCACAACTCAATATCAGCTAATTTAAGAGACCCCTCTAGATCACCAGCCTTTCCATTCCTCTGTTACTGAAGTCCACACTTGGATTCATTCTACACATTTCATAGCTCAGTTCCAACGTGGATTTTGTGAACTCTTACTGTAGAGTTTTATGGTTGGTCCATAATCAAGATACTATTTCTAACTTATTTCCTACGGGTATTTCTAAGATTATTTATGTCCAAACTGTTGGAACACAATCGTTTTGTGTAAAGCTTTTCTGATGCCAAAACAATAGGGCACTTGCCCCAAGTAAGTTCCAAGCTGAACTTGCTCCTCCCCCCATCTCTCTCCCTCCACCACTGAGCATCCCAGGGCAGTGTAGATTTGTTTTCTAAAGTCATTTCTTTCCCTTGACTATTCCTTTGCTTCCATCTTGAGTTTTTAGTTTGGCTGGGGAAGACAGTCATCAGGCAAAAAGAGCATCCTTGTCAGTTCTTCCATTCTTGTCCATAGAAGGAGTCCTATTAGCTTCCGTTCAGTGAAAATAACTGAATTCCCTTGGCACCACCCACCCTGGGTCTGATGGCAGTGATGGCAGTAAAACTAGGGAGCTGTGAAATGTCCTCATCCTCTCTCCATCCCATCTCACTGTCTCCTGCACTCTGCCTCCATATGCCTCTGTCTGTGTCTCTGTCTATTTCGTTCTCTGGCTCTGTTTGTCTATTTCTTTCTCTCCATCCTTAAAGACAGTTGTATTTGTGCAGATGATTCACACATCTTGAATTTTCTCATTTATTTAAATTTAAACTAAATCAAATGGTTTCATGTAACTGTTTAAATCATCACAGATGTTAAGGAAACTACCAACATCAGTTCCTTTTCCGGCCCCAAAATTATGCTTCACCACATGCCAAAACCCAGCAGAGGGCATCCTTCCATTTCAGATGTGCAAACACTGCAGGGAAAAGGCTCTACAATTCTGGCAATGTACTCCATTTGCAACTGTGCACTGGAATCTAAATAAAGGGGCTACTGTAGTAGTAGGGAAATTTGTTACATAAGTTGTTCTGGAGTGTTTATCTCCATTTTGAATTGTAAATTTAGAAGCAATTCCCCTTTCATAAGAAAAAAAAAAGAAAAAAATCTCGTCTCTGGCCTCTCTCCAGATCTGGGGAATTAGCTTCAAATTTCAGAAGCAGCAGGTAGCACCTCTGTGATCCCTCTGCCTCTAGGCATGTGTGTAAATAAAGTGATCACAGAGACAAAGCAATCGAGAAAGAACTCTGCACCCTACCTCCTCTGCTGCACTCTCCCCTATCCCTGAAACCTAAAGACAAATAGCAAGAGAGGCATTTTGCCTGTTACACTGAAAAGTAGGAAGAAGATGAGCCTGGTCGAGAGCAGAGTAGCAGGTGGGGCCCACCTTGTACCTGTGTAAGTAAGCAGTCGCCCACTAAGATTAATTGTGTAGCTTCACAGAACTTAAAATTCCACAATGAAAAACATCTTACATTGTCAGAAGAATTTCCCCCAGGTTACAATGCAAATACCCACAACCCTTATCAGTGATTTTCTCCGCAGTGTGGATGAGTTTATGAGATTTTCTTTCCTTGTGGAAGAATGTCTCAGGAGAGAAGGAGAGAATATGAGGAGACAATACAGCATCATTCCTACATCCATTCAGCATATGTTTTTGAGCACTTTATGCCAAACCCTGTTCTAGGTGCTAAGAACCCACCAGGAAACCAACTAGCAAAGATCACTTTCCTTGAGGTGATGTGTCAGAGTGCAAGGGTCTGGGGAATCGGACAGACCTAACTTTGAGTCCTGGTCCTGCCAATTACCCAGCTATGTGTGTATGTGTGTACGTATATATATATATATATATATATATATACACACACACACATACATATATATATACACACACACACTATATACAGTGTATATATCAGTAAAATCCTCAAAATTAGCCTAAGAAAAGTTCTATTATGATTATCATTTTCATTTTACAAATGAGGAAATCAGGCACAGAGTGATTTATAAATTTCCCAGAATCAGAAGTAGCAGAGCAGGAATTTGAAACAATGCTGCCCGACTTCAAAGCTGTCTTGCCTCTTAACCAGTGCACCAGAGAGTTGATTTCTAGGTCCTGAGGACTAGATGAGATGACACATATAAGCTGAGAGTATAGTATAGTACTTTTTAAAATTTATTTATTTATTCATTCATTCATTCATTCTGTCATTTTTATCACTGCCATTGTTATGGGTTTCTGGGACCTCAGGGTATATGTTGAAGTATAAGATAAGAGGCTCAATACTTGAATCAAAATACTTCTAGTTCAGAATCTATCTGTGTCCAGCTCTGGTTAAAAGTAAGATTGCATAATGTCATAGCTACTGAATCATGGCTTCTCTGCATTAACCTTTCCGTAAGATGACAGGCGGCCTCTAACAGCCATGGCTCTAGACAGGATATCAGGACACAAGCTCCCTGTAACAAACAGGAGCATTTCCTGCTCTGGCTTTTTCTAACCTTCCCTGGAAGCTGAAGGTTAAGACCAGATTTGAAATGAAACCAAGATGCAAGGATCCATCTCTGGTTGACAGCCGCTTTTTGTTCTCTGATCAGTGACCTTGTAGTCAGTCCCACCCCCCTCAACTGCTGGTGTCCCTTTGCTCTCTCTCTTTCCAAACTGCACTCTCCAAAGCCCCCCTTCTTGGGCTTCGTACTGATGAAGCTTGTTCATAGATCAGTGGGGGTTAAAGATGCTAACTGTGCTATTCAAAGAGCAAGGAAGCAGTCATGTTTTGTTGCTGCTCTGGGAGTTCTCTGCTCGCCCGTAAGCCCGCATTTGTGTCTCACGTTCTCGCATTACCAAAATCAAGAATCATTTTAAACAAGCAGATTAAAATTCTGGCTCCGGGCCCCATTTCTTATTGATTTCATTTCACGACTGTCATCTTAGTTTCATTAAGTAGGAAACTGAGTGTTTGATAATGGGGTATAGGAGAATTCACAAATGGATATCTCATATATCCCATTTTTCTTGCCTGCACTAAAAAAAAAAAAAAAAAAGTTTTTATCCCACATGTCAAGCTTCACAATGCAAAACTCAAGTCAACTAAACATTTAAAAACTGTATTTCTATTCAAAAAGGCAATTTCATGCTGATTTCATCTCACCATGACCCTGCAGGGATGAACACTGTGGCAACACATCATTTAGGATAGAAATAAGTGCTTCAAACCCTTTGGATTGAACTTAAAAAAATAGCTAGTATGCTGGTAGCTATGATGCAAGTTGCCTTGTCATAGCCTTATAGCTTTCTATCAACACTGGTTGGGTTCAATAAAAAAGAAGATTTTCCTTAGCAGATACTCACCCCAAGGTAATGGCCATCGATGAACACGACAGGAAGCGAAGGAGCTTCAGAAACCCGTCGGCATCGTTCATCTAATTCTTTTCCATAGTCACCATTCAGAGCTATGTTTTTCTCTTCAAATTTTACCCGATGGTTTTGGAAGATCTTTCTTACCAGTTCACACCTTTCAAAGGTTGTCCGTACCACACGAAGGCAAGTCGTATAAATCACTACGCGGTCAAATTCTAGTTCAATGGATGGTTGCTGTAGGAAAATATTATAGTGTAAATATTTTGGCATTTGCTTTCTTACATCTCTTTATTTTAAGACAATTAACATTTCAGCCAACGTCTTACACATTAAAGGCCTGCAATAAAAGTTGAATAAGCACCATATTTGTCAATTCTAAGACATGTCTTTATACTTTAGAACATCTGTAATTGCAATAAGGATGACAATCAACATAATTTAAATGACATAATTTAATTGACAGTATTTTTTCTGTTCCCAATGGTGTATCAGATAATGGCATATCTTTTTTTTTTAACATCTTTATTGGGGTACAACTGCTTTACATTTTTGTGTTAGTTGCTGCTGTATAACAAAGTGAATCAGCTATACATATACATATATCCCCATATCCCCTCCGTCTTGCATCTCCCTCCCACCCTCCCTATCCCACCCCTCTAGGTGGTCACAAAGCACTGAGGTGATCTCCCTGTGCTATGCGGCTGCTTCCCACGAGCTATCTATTTTACATTTGGTAGCGTATATATGTCCATGCCACTCTCTCACTTCGTCCCAGCTTACCCTTCCGCCTTCCCGTGTCCTCAGGTCTATTCTCTACGTCTGCATCTTTATTCCTGTCCTGCCCCTAGGTTCTTCAGAACCATTTTCTTTTTTTAGAGTCCCTATATATGTGTTAGCATACGGTATTTGTTTTTCTCTTTCTGACTTACTTCATTCTGTATGACAGACTCTAGGTCCATCCACCTCACTACAAATAACTCAATTTCATTTCTTTTTATGGCTGAGTAATATTCCATTGTAATTGGCATATCTTAAAATTGATGATGCCTCACATGGCATGCCATGTGGTGAAATAAGGAATGGTTGAATTATTTTTCTCATGTTTTGTAGACATCATTCAACTACAATAGCTGCCTCTTATACCCAAAGCAAAACATGGAACAGAATAGACAAAGTTAGCATTTAACAATTTGAAAATTCTTCTACTCATCAACTTACCAAATTTTACAGCTTTTTTGAGCCAAAATTTACTGGGAATAACAAGATCTATATCATAGGATTGTTCTGAGATTTAAGAGGCATACAATGGGTGCCTGAGCTCTGTTGAATGACAGGCTCCCGTGTGCAGTGAGAAGGTTCTGCCGTGAGGAACAGAAGATATAGTGGCTCAGAGAGAGTACATAGAAACCAATATCAAGGTGGGCAGCAGGTCAAAGCCAGGCATAAAAAGGAAACAAGGAAACAGTACACTGCAATGGAGTGTAAGCAATTGGAGGCTTAGCTTATGCTGTCAAAATGGAGGCAAGCAACTCTCAAAACCAAGGTGAAGACTCCTAAAGACAGCATCTCTTTTTGTCTATGTTTCCTGCTGCATCAGACATCAGTGGCTGCATTCAAACCCTGCCAGCACTGCGAGGGCCTTATCAGCTAGGTCCTGACATCACCAGGGTGACATCACCCTCTTCCTCTTTATTATAGCCTTATTTGAAGGAGACTGAACAGAACCCAACTATATACCGTGAGATCAAGGGATACGTGAGTCTCCACAGTGCTACAGTTGTTGAAAGACAACCACACAACTTATAAACTCCTGTGAAATCAAAACTTTGATTTGAAACCACTCCAGATGGCTAAATACTAGAACCAGAAGGTAAGATACTAAGCTTCACCACTTTGTACTCAAAGAAATCAGACCACTCTGCCAGATGCAAATACAGATAGTTCTAGAAAGATATGAAGTGATGGAAATGGCTATGCAGTGGTCTCCACTTCACCGAGAGACTGGACATTTTTTTTTTCTAATGGTAAAATGTATTAAAGATGTAAGAATCTTTTCTTTCCTCAATAGAGTTTAGAAGCTAAGTTGAAAACCAGAGGCCTGGAGGGGCCAAGCAGGTGTCATAAATGCTGGAGCAGACCAGGAGTAAATAAGATATTAGTGAGAAGCAGGGAGAGTGTCATTTGAAAGGGAAAAACATAACTCAGCTTCAGGCAAGCTTCAGGAATGTCACTCAGTGTTGTCAGATATGATTATTGTAAATATAAACTTGAAATCTGGATTTTTATAGGAAATTTTCTGCATTCTAAATAGTGGCACCCCATTTAAAAATGTATTGAGACCCCTGGACAAAATATCTGAAGGCTGAATTTGGCCTATATACTGCTAATTTATAACATTGGAAAGGAGAGAGTCCCAGGGAGGTATATCAGATATACCTGGACTCTGTCTCTGGCCATCTCTGTCTTTGGGAAGCTAATGAGCTGTTTAGCCTCAGTTTTCTCATCTGTAAAATGTGATAATAGTGGTGGTAGGTACCTAATAGGTTTGCTGAGAAGATTAAGAAAACAACTAGTGTAGGGCTTAAAACATAGTACTGTGTGCTGAGTTATACACTGCAAAGATATTACACTCCACATTGTGGAATTTTTAAGATTAAGACCACAAGCAAAAATAAATCAATGGAAAATATCAATGTAATTAATGACAAGAAAAGAGGATTATTACTAGGCTTTAGATTAAGAAGCATTGATCTTCAAAAAGAGTAACCAAATGCCCAAGAGCCTCTGGTTCCTCTTCATATTCACAATTATGAACAAGCTGGGAATCAAGGAACTCACTGTAAATGCTACAGCTTTTGGAAGAGCACCAAACTTCTCTTTTTCCTGATACTATCTGAGTAATTATGCATTGTTCCTCTGGCTGCAAAGACTGCTATAACTGCATTTGTTTCTACCAAAATGTTCCACTTTTTTCAATAGTACACTTACTTTTGAAATATTTTATAAGAAATACATTTCCCCATGTGAAGAAGTGGGAAAACTTAAGATTGGGCCATTCTGTTCTCACACAGGATTCTCTCTGCTCGTACAACATATGCTTGGTACCACTTTTCTGTGTACCTCTAAGAGACAGACATTTAAAAAATAGTAATAACATGAACCCTTATCAAGTGGCCACGTTAGATGCTGTTCAGTGCAAAGGGTAACAAAAAATATCCCTTTGCCTACTGTTGAGGATGAGCTTTGCCTGGAATCAGTGATTGGATATTAGAATAAACTAGGGAGCTTTAAAAATCCCCAAAGCCCAGGCCAAGCACATACCAGTTATATCAGAATCACCAGAGTGATTTTTTTTTGAAATCTCCTCTGGCAATTCCACTGTGCAACCAAGTTCTAGAGCTAGTTGGATACCAGTTGGAAATGCAGAATCATGAGCTTCACCCCAGATCTACTGAATCCGAATCTGCACTTTAACAAGTTCTCTGGGAAATCTGGGTGCACATTATATTTTTGAGGAGCCCCGGTGAAGTCACATATAGGCAGCTTGACTTGTTAGAGAAACTGGGTTTATGTCCCTTTAAAATAACTGCTAGTCATTTATACAGTCATTAGAATAATTTGCCAAACATATGCTAGGCACTATATATATAATGGGGAGCAAAAATTATAATTCCTAACGACTTGGAGCTCATAGTTTAAAGTAATAAAAAAACTAAAATGTTACATAAATCAATATAGAATTACAAACTGTTAAGTGATGCAAAGGAAATGCACAAGTTGTTAGAAGAGGCTATGGCAGAAGGGCCTTTTCTGTTTTAGAGGTCGAAAAAGCGTTATCTGATATTTGAGCTCTGATTTAAAGGATAAGAAAGAGTTACAGGCATTAACTAGGCAGAGCGCATGGGGAAAAAGTCACAGATAAGTGCAAAGATGTTGAGATGGAGGAAGATGGCATGTTTGAGACTCTGAAAGAAGGTATTTGCTGAAACACAAAGGAGAATTATAATAATACTGAATGATTCTGGACACGCATGTAGGATCAATATCATGTTGTATTTTATAGCCACTCTATGGCCTTTAACCTAAGAGCAATGAGAAGTTCCTGAAGGCTTTTAAGGAGGATGGGAGGGGTTTACATATTTTAAAAATAACCCTGGTGGCGCAGTGGTTGAGAGTCCGCCTGCCGATGCAGGGAACGCGGGTTCGTGCCCCGGTCCGGGAAGATCCCACATGCTGCGGAGCGGCTGGGCCCGTGAGCCATGGCCACTGAGTCTGCGCGTTCGGAGCCTGTGCTCCGCAACGGAAGAGGCCACAACAGTGAGAGGCCCACATATCGCAAAATAAATAAATAAATAAATAAATAAATAAGTGAAGCTGGGCCAGTGCAGATAGTTGCACAGGATGTGCACTGCACAAACCTAGAGACTGTCATTATTAGCAAAGAATAAAGGAAGGATGCCTCCAGGGTTGTGTGATTCCACAACTTGAGCAATCGTACTCAGTCTCATTCCCAACTCCCTTGGTCTGAAAACTGAGATTGAATCCAGGGTAAATTCAAGGTAGGAAATATAGTTCATCTAGTAGAATAGGCTATTAAGTAAAATTTTCTAAAAATAATCTCACTGAACAATTTTTTTGATATGATTTGAAAGTGGATTTTTCTAGAGGTAGAAGTGGGTTAAATGATTCCTCAAGGTTGTTTCCAGTTTCATAATATCAGTTTTAAATGATATTGTCTTTAGAAAAAGAAATCCTCTTCTACACTTGCCTCATTTTCTTTCCCTCAACAGATTTGTCAGAGCATTTGGCCAGAAAGCTAAAAATAGCCCCTCAGTGGTTAGCTGTCCCTCTTCTCCCTTCCTGAGAGTTACCATGGGAATAGCGTAATGAAGGATGGAGGCATCTGAGACAGCGCTAAGAAGCCACTGGGATTTGCAGCCCGCTTGTTCTGAGAAAGCCGACCTAGATGTTAATAAAGGCAAGCCGTTTCTTCCTTTCCATTGATTAAAAAAGATGACTCTTTGGGGTGCCCCGAAGCCTCACAACAACCTGCAGCAAACGTAGATGTGTTGGTAAGGGACGGAAATTGCTGTGAACAAGACTAAGGAGGGAGGAGATATGGGGATATATGCATACGTATAGCTGATTCACTTTGTTGTGAAGCAGAAACTAACACACCATTGTAAAGCAATTATACTCCAATAAAGATGTTAAAAAAAAAAAAAGACTAAGGG